GCTTGACGAGCATGCTGAGCTTGAGCTGAGGTCATATTCATTCTGGCCCAGCTCACTGCCTTGTCAATACGGCGTAGGTGCTCCCTTGCTTGCTCTCAAGTAACTCGTTCTTGCGCGTCCTGGCGTGAGCTGTCACTTATCTGCGTCCAGTCGAAATCCAAGCGAGGTTCTTGGCCGTACTTAATCATGTGAGGTGTGAGTCCTATGGATTCGTGGACTAGAGCTGACCCTGCGGCGTCTAATGCCGGCAGAAGATATGCCCAGTCATCTTAGAAGTGGTTCACGAATAGTCAAAGCCTTGTATCAACGATCTGGTTAATGATTTCCGTCTGGCCGTCTGTCTGGGGGTGAGCTAATGTCAACAACTTGAGCTTAATACAACAGAGGCAAGATAGCTCATCAAGAAATGCGGCTAATAAACTGCGGCCCTCTATCGCTAGTGACAGTCTTTAGGCATCCTTTAAATCGCCATATATACCTATAGAAGAGGTCAGCCGCAGTGGCCGCAGTGGCAGTCTTCTTTATTAGTAGGCAAATATGTCTCTTGCTTAAGCGATCTACTACCACGAAGACGGCATCACAGCTGTTACTGACAGTGCCAGGCATATAGAAATCCATCAAGAGGTCGTCCTATGGTCGCAGGGGGACAGGCAAGGAGTGCAGGAAACTAGGCGTTTTATCGCGCGGCTTGTGGGATCGACGGCATTCATGACAGTTAGCAATATAACGTGCTATGTTACTACTCCAATAAGGCCACCAATATAGCCTAGCCACTAAAGCACGCGTTTTCGCCTGACCTGGATGCGCTGTAGTCGTCTGCAAGTGGATCTGGTGAAGCAAGTGTGTACGCAGGTTATCCTTGCCTTCTGGCACCACAAGTCTATTGTTGTACAACAGTAAGCCATCTCTTAATGACCACTTACCTGATCCTGTCGTAGCTAGCTGACGTTCTTCTGTTAGAGTCAGGCTCTCCCGGTTCTCCCTAACGACTTCTGCTATAACGTTGAGACTCTCGATGTCCTCTATGGCAGCTACCTCTATTCTTGTCGGATCCAACAGCGTCCGAGTCTTCTCTTGCGTCCTAGCTTCCTTCTGCGTTAGGGTGGCTTCGTTCTTACGCAAGAGAACATCTGCTACGACATTTTCCTTGCCAGGTCAGTAGCAGATGCGATAGTTGAACCCTGAAAGATGTTAGAGTCGGGCTCTCCCGGTTCTCCCTAACGACTTCTGCTATAACGTTAAGACTCTCGATGTCCTCTATAGTAGCTACCTCTATTCTTATTAGATCCAACAGCGTCCGAGTCTTCTCTTGTGTCCTAGCTTCCTTCTGCGTTAGAGTGGCTTCGTTCTTACGCAAGAGGACATCTGTCACGACATTTTCCTTGCCAGGTCGGTAGCAGATGTGATAGTTGAACCCTGAAAGAATATCTATCCATCGAATTTGTCACTCGTTAAGGAGGCGTTTAGTACTGAAATACTCGGGCGCCTTGTGGTCCGTCATAATAAGGAACATGTCAAGGCTGGTTAGTTCAGCTCGCCATTCTTTGAGAGCTAGAATGACTGCGAACATCTCCTTATCATGAATCTCATAGTGGCATTCTGCTCCTTTGAGTGTGGTGGAGAAGAAAGCGACAGGATACCATTGTGAGTCGGCAGGATCGAGTTGTACTAGTACGCCAGCTGCGGCTTCGTCAGAGCAATCCGTCTCTACTCAAGTCTCACGTTCTAGCTTGAAGTACGTGAGGACAGGAGGAGAGAGCAGCTTGCGTTACAGCGTACAAAAAGCGTTGAGTTAGACCTCATCTAATTAGAACTTTGGCACAGTATCCTTTCTTGTCAGATTACTAAGCGGCCTAGTGATGCGCCCATATCCCTTAATAAATATTCGATAGAAATTACAGAACCTAAGAAACGACTACACACCTCTTCTTATTATAAGAGGTTCCCAGTCACAAATGACCTTAGTCTTGCTTAGGTTAACCTCTACACTATAGTCTATAATAACATATCCTAAGAATATGGTGCGAGTAACTTCAAACTCATATTTCTTGATATCTATATATAGACTAGCTGCGTGTAGCCTTATTATAATCTAACATACGTGCTATTTGTGCTCTTTCTTGTTCTTTAAGAAGATTAGGATATTATTAATATACGCTATACAGAAGACGCCAAGATAGTCTATAAGGACAGAGTTAATATAACGCTAAAAGGTAGCAGGACTATTGCAAAGACTAAAGAGAAGGACTACTAGCTCAAAAGCTCTGTAGGTCGTTTAGAATGACGCCTAATAAATTAAGTCAGGGTCTATTCTGATACAATTGAATATATAACAGATATCGAGCTTCATAAAGATTATTACGCAAGCTAACTATAACAAGGTCTCTGAGATTAAAGGCAAAGGATATCTATCTTTCTTCGTAAGTTTATTTAGACTTTTATAGTCGATACAGAATCTAAGGTCCCCATTCTTCTTCTTGACAAATAAAACAGGTGACAAGAAAGAGGAAGATGACAGGCAAATAAATCCTTTACGTAAGTTCTCTATTAGATACTCTCTTATAGCTGCAAGCTCTCGAGTTGACATCTTGTACAGATGCAACGCCTTCATCTCTGGTTCCTTGTTGAAGCGCAGCTTGTGGTCGAACAGACAGTGCTAAGGCAGAGTATCTGCAGCTACTCTCGAAAAGGCGGCTGCTTAATTGCGGAGATACGAAGGAAGATGGCTGAGGATGGACTCAAGATCGTCAGAACGAGGTCTAAGGTCACCGAGAGCATCCTGTTCGTCATCATCAGCTATCTGAACTCGACTGACTTAGCACGAGGCAGGGCGGCCTCGTTTCTGCAGCTCATGATCAATACTATCCAACGTAACTGTCCCTAATATTACACCGTCCTGTTTGCTACTGACACAAAAGGCTGCAGCGCCTACGAGATTTACAGAGATCGTCCTGTTGTCAGTGTCAGCCTCATCTAAATCAGAGTCAGGACTGAGGCTCTTGTCAGCTTCATCAGAGAGAGGCAACTTAAGCTCCGCTTTATGACGTCGATAATGCTGACGCCGTTCTTGCACAGATTTCTGAAATCAAGTCCTAGCCTTGCCGGCATCATCAGAGCTGACTTCAGGGCTGCGACGTCAAATATCCTCCTCAAATAGCCTATCTCTACAAGCGTCGTGCCATTCCTGTACTCGGTGGTCCTCCGGCTAGTATATCTTGTTCCTCTTACAATCCGGCAGAATATCGTGCTTGGCTAGCCATTTGCGGCCTAGAATAACATCGTAAGAGCCAAGGTCAGCGGCCAAGAGCAGGATATTAGTAAGAGTTCGACCGTGGATCCGTGTGGTAGCAAGGAGCAAATTATTAATAGGCCTGCTAGGCTGACCGTCGAATCCAACTAGTAGGATAGCCCTCTCCAAAGGAACAAGAAGGATATCAAGCTGCTAAGGGGCGGCCTAAGCGATCTTCCTGTCGATCAGAATATACGCGTTGGCTCTACTGTCTACCAAAGCACGAAGATGAAGAACCTTGTTATCCGCACCCTTGAGATCGAATGCCATGATGAGAGATGGCCCTCCGACGAGCTGGTCGAGCCTGACGGGTACGCTCTCGTGATAGCCTAAGGCTGCGATTTCGCCTAAGGCATCTCGTTTTCCGACTCCGCAGATTCCTTGTCAGGGCCAGAGGACTCATCTCCGAAGTCAGATTCTGCCTCTTCGATCTTACTAACGTGAAGGTCAGGGCAGTCAGGTTTCACATAGCCAGGCTTGTTGCAGTGGAAACAAGTTACCGTATCATCCTTCTTGAAACCCACGCGCTTCGATTTTGAACCAGTAGCCTGGCCGGGAGAAGGAGTAGGAGAGCGTCGTGGTGGGCCTACTGTCGGGGCTAAAGGGAACGGATACGCCTTACCTGGCGTAGTCCTGGCTTCTGGGCGCCTGGTGTCGGGCCTCGGGCTGTTGGGTCGAGCACGGTTGCAGATTCGCTCTTCTTCTCTCTCTTTTCTACGAATTAGTATAAGCCGGTTCTCTTGCTTCATGACCCAATGAGCTATAGTGCTGGCGTCGTAGAAAGTCCGATCCCCTATCTCGCGAAGGAGTTCGGCAGACATCTTTTCCTGCAGGTCCTTATACTGATCCTGGCTAGACTTGCCGATCTGCGACGCCAAACGCGTAAAGTCGGCCTAGAAAGCGTCAAACAGTCGGTTACCCTGGCGTAAGGCGGCGTAGGCCGCCTTGGCATGTTGTTAGCGTAACGCGTTACTTTCTCTGAAGGCTTGCTTCATAATAGCAAAGATCTCCTCAGGCGTCCGAATAGGGTATGATGACATTAGTTTAAGGCGCTCGCAGATGTGGTCTCTAGCAGGGCCCTTTACAAGGCTAGTAACGAATCTCATAACCTGTGGGTCGTCCTGAGGGAAAGGGCTAACAAGAGAGCGAGTCTTATAAATCTAATCTTCAACCAAGATATCCTTAGGGCCGCTCAGGCCGCTAAAGGTCTTAGGAGTACCCTTGCGGAGATCCTTAATAGCAGGAGGCGGGAGAGAAGTTGACCTAGGGGGCTCTGTGCCGGCTCTCTTGCTTCCTGGCTCATAAGAGCCGGTCTCACAAGGGCGATAATCCTACGCTTGTGTCAGAATAGGCCTCAGAAGAGGCGACAGGAAGAAGGTCAATAACAGGTTTGAGGTACGCTCCACCTTTAGAAGAGGATCTGTAGGAGTAGCCTTCTGTCGCGAGCTGGCCACTGTCTCTGCATATAGGTTGGAATATATAAAAGACATCGAGAAGGCAGGCGCCTAACGCGCAGACGCCTAATGACAGGTTATCTGCTCCGTTAAGTCAGCAATTTTCTCTTGCAGGGCTATATTCTGTTCTTGCAGGGCTGCGTTCTGTTTCTCTAACTCCTGGCCAGCAGTAGCAAGCTACGTAGCGTACTCCGAAATTTGGTGGGCTAAGTCAGCGTTAGTATTTGCCGTTTTCGCTAGCTCTAAGGCGACCCTCTCGGCTGTCTGGTCGATCAGAGCTTATTCCTGCACTCCCTATTGCCGTAGCTCAGCTAGAATAACGTCGATATCAGATTGAAGATTGGCTGGTACAATCACTCTCAGCTGAGCTACTCTGTCAAGGGGATCAGAAAGGTCGAAAGGTAAGATGAGATGAAGGTAGTCGTTCTTAGCAGGAGGAACGGGGTTGTCGGTCCTGGCCAGGCTAGACGAGTCGAAGGCAACTGTATCAAATGCGGTCTAGGGGGCTGCCTCTACGTTCTCGCGTATTAGTGACTAGTTACTAGTTAGTGTCGCTATTATTGATGTGTAGCCCGGCTCTAATTAAGTGTTGCGTAAGTTAAAAGAGGAAAGACGACAGGACCTTAAAGGGTGTCGCAATTATCAAGGTGGGGAAAAGGTTAGTGGCCCCTTTGAACAGGGCAGCTGTCTGACAGCTCTAGAGTATGTCAACCCTATGTTTATACTCTGCCTCAACCACAGAGTCATTATATATATGCGTACAGAGCGCCCTATTCTTTTACTTACTAGGTACGAGGATCCCGCTTATTTGAATTCAGAGGTCCGAATCTCCTTGTCTTCTTTAACCTCGTCAGGGGCGCAGAGGGTATCAGAGAGGCTTACTTTAAACTCGAGTCCGACCTCGAATGTTAACACCGACCCAGAATGAGCTGGCAACAGGTCCAGAGATACAGATCTCTTGCAGTTGATAGTTTAACAACCGTTTCCAGTCAAAGAGCAGTCTTAGGATAATGTCACATGTCACATTAGAAGCAGGCGATAAGTGCGCGAGATCTTCAGCCCATGTTGAGTGCTATCCTAAGACTGGAGAGTCAACGATAAGGGCCCTGGGGTCGCTTCTATATAAGAAGCATGCCCCTTACTGACGTCTAGTGCTAATCAATACCCGGCGCCCTAGCGCTAGCAGGCGACAAGCATGGCAGCCGTGACAGTTATCTACTATTAAATTACATTGTCTTAATTCCTTAATCTGACGCCTTATCTTATTTAGGTAAAACTAATATCTAATGTCTTTTTGATTTTTGAGTTTCTATTTTAGATATAAGACATTCTAGACTTTAGTATTACTAATTAACTTAGTTATTTTGCTAGGCGTAAGACTTTTCGCTTTCCTAAGCTTCTGTAACAATATTTTAAGCTTTGATAACTGGTCTTTAGAGAACAGCTATTATGTAAGATCTGTATCTCTTTTTTGCTTTTCGCTCTAGCCTAAAGATTAGCTGTTGTTAGATACTAGGTTTTCTGATCTAGAGTTATTATCTATATCTAATACTTTTGTCTGTTACACTTTGCTTTCCTTGCTAATATCTGCAATTGTTGCCTATTTTGATTCCTTCTGCTTATTATAGTCTTCTGACTTAGTCGTCTTACCTCGCTTTACTCTCTTGTTCTTTAGTATTATAATGTTTCTTTTATAAATATAATTATAAATTTTTGATTACACTTGTCAAAATATTTATAAAAAGTAAAGCTCTACTTATAGATAAGAAGATAAGGTAAATGTCTTTAAGGTAGAAACTGTGATGGATGGAGTATCTCCTCTGCTATGGCGCAGGAAATACACAGGACCAGCCACGCACTCAGATGGCAGCACTCGGATGGCAGCGCCGATGGCGTATCCACAACGGCACGCGGAACTCTTGCCGTCAAGCTACTATGCCGCCGATAGAGGCATCCGTACGGCACGTGGCTCCCCGTACGAGTACCATGGAACCGGAGATTGATACGACCCCTTTAGGAAAGTACAATCTCCTCCAGAGGGAAGCTACCGCTTCTGGCCCTGCAGATACTCCGTCGGATCCTCTGCGCAGGTTAACTAGTAGCACCCCTTGTGTTCGACGGAGGAGTATATAGAGTAGAGCGCTGGCCGCACTGTAGATAGACTCCTCAGCTTACGTTTTAGCAATCTATGGACTATTGACTTGTTCTAGTTTCGAGCCATTGCAGAAACAACCTCTTTTTAAATATTATAAAAATAGTAAATTTTTCTATTTTCTATCTTATTTTTTGATCTCTTTTCTCTCTCTTTCTCCCCTCTTTCTCTTGTGTCCCTTCCTCTTCTTCCTTTCTAGTTCTATTATTAAAAGGGAGAAGAAGGGGAGGGAAGAGAGAGAAGGGGAGAGGAAGAGAGGGAGGGGAAAAAAGGGGAGAAGAGGGGAGAGGAGGAGACAGGAAGAGGAAAAAGTAAGGGGAGGGGGAATGTTTGGGATGTCACGGCTGCCATGCTTGTCGGCCGCTAACGTCCTATACGGTTGCGTGCAACATACGGTCCCGTGCAACACCAAATTTTTACAACGCAATTTGAGATACAACTTCAAACAGTCATCATTTCGTCACCACAACCAATTCTCTTCGAAACAGGTCCAAATTGAAGCTGAGCATCCTATCTATCTATTGGTACTCATAATGGCTGACAAATATGCTGATTTATCCAGTTCTGAGCGTGTGGATGCAGCCGTTCAATTGCTCCATGAGAATCCTTCATTAAGCCTGCGAAAAGCAGCCACTATCTGCAATATTCATGCCTCCTCTATTTCTCGACGTCAACGAGGTCTTACAAGATCTACGAAGGAAGCTATTCAAGAGCGACAGCTGCTCACACCAGCAGAAGAGGCTATTTTGATCAAATATGCCCTCAAATACAATGATTGGGGTCTTCCACTTCAATTCAAGCATCTTCGTCAATTTACTTTAAATACCTTCGCTTTCGGGAGGCTCCCTTCTCTTCATACTAGCCCTCTCACAACCTATTGACCGTCATCGAGTTTCTGCTACAAAAGAGTTAATTGCAAGACAATGGTTTACTCTATTCCATCGAATTCGTACGGAGCACTCAATTAGGGATGAAGATATCTACAATATGGATGAGAAGGGCTTTATGATGGGGGTAATGCAGAGAACTCACGTTCTTATTCCTATTCAGCAGAAACAAGCATTTGTACGTCAAGACGGTAACAGAGAGTGGATATCTGTTATCGAATGCGTACGAGGAGGCAATGACAGCGAGGCTATTGCCCCATTCATCATCTTAAAGGGCAAACGTCAGCAAGCTGTTTGGTGGGATAGTATCAGGGATCCTGATACAAAGATAGCTACAAGCGAAAAAGGATGGACTGACAATATTCTTGCTATGAACTGGCTAACAGAGCATTTCGATCCTCTAACAAAGCCAATTGATTCGACTGCGAAGCGCCTACTCATTGTTGATGGTGTCACGAATCTCACTGTACGATCGATTTCATCGAATTCAGCAACTTACACAACATTATCTTGCTTATCTTACCTCCTCATACGACTCATTATCTTCAACCATTAGATGTGGCCTGCTTTGGACCTCTTCAACGTTGGTATTCAGCAGAAGTTGAAGCTCACGGTCGATTCAACGGAACGTACGTCGAAAAATCTGACTTTCTACGCTTCTATCAAAGAGCTAGGGCGGCAGCTCTCAATTCAGAGAATATCGATGCAGGATTCAAAGCGACAGGGCTTATTCCGTACGATCCACAGCGCATTTACAACAAAATAGCTCATACACAGCCAGATACCTCTTCTAATTCAGAGATGCGAACGAAGCATCAGAACGAACAGAGCAAGAAATTAGCACTGTACGTCAAATTCAACGATTTATTGAAACGTCAGTTGAAGATGAACCTGGCAAGCGACTTGTGCTCAACAAGATAGAGTCCCTTGACGCCGAAAATGCTATTCTGCTCAAAACCAATGCTGAGCTAGTTGCTAATGCTCGTACGACCAAAAGAGCAAACAAACAGCTATCTACAGAGGGCAGATGTCTATCCAAAAGAACTGCGGAGGAACTCAGGGCACTAGCAGCACAAAAAGAGGCAGAAAAAGAGGCCAAAAAGGCTCAGGCGCTTGAGAAAAAGGCTGCAGCAGCTGCTAGAAAGGCTGAACAGCAGCGAAATAAGGCCTTACGTCAATTAGCAAGAGCTGCTGGGGGGATAGAAGAGAAGAAACGGCTGCCTCCGAGATCCAGGGCAAAATGCAATTATCTGCTATGGATCGAAGAGGATGTATTTGAATAAGGAACTACACCATAGATCCCTATTCTATTTCCTATTTAGGAAGCT